TCATAAAAATAACTGATAGTATAATTAGTCACAAGAACAAAATAAGAGGTTTACTATTGGAAGGGAGATAGCAAAATAATATACCTGGAAAACCTAAGGGAATCAATTTACAAGTTATTATAAATAATAAGAGAATTCAATAAGTCAGACATTAAATTTTTATAAATGCATAAAACATTTATATAAGTATAAATATTCATTTTTTATAAATGTATAAAAATCAGTAGTATTGTTATATTCCAGCTAAAACCAGTTCAAAATTATAAGAGGTAAAATTAGTGCAAGAAAAACAGTAACAGCAAATCACAACAGGAAGTATGTTGGACCTAGATGAAGAAAAATAGAAAACTTAACAGGATATAAAAAGGCTTGATCAGAAGACTCCATGCTATAAATATGTCCATTTCTCCTGCATTAATCTGTAGAATCCATGAAAATTCAACAGAAACTATAACTGGATTTTTTTGTAACTTGATTTGATCTTTAGTTCAACTGAAATAGTAATTATGTGAAATTGATTAGTAAGAGAAAAGAAAGGAAGGAAGGAACGGAGGAAGGAAGGGTGCGTCATAAAGGAATACTTAGCTCTGGTAGCCAACCTCCAAGATAGACCTTAACTGCACATTACAAAATCTAAAAAATATTCTTAAAACACCAACTAGTCAAAAGTCAGTTGTGAGATTTATTGTAACATTTTATAAAATGTATTCCTTTCTTCCACACCTCCCCCAAATTTATTATTTTATTTTATTTTTGGTAGCAAAAATATTTTTTATTTATAATTTACAGTTTCACAAGTGAAAATCGTACATTTTTACACATAACAATTTCATTTCGTAAATTTGCACACATCTACAGAACTTTCAAACAACAAGCACCTGAAACTGTGCAGGCAGTAGGATATGTAAATACTAAAATGTATTTATTAACCAAATGATAGCAGAAGGCCCTGCCTCAGCTAGACAATTTATATAGATAGTTCTGTATATACATAAAAAAATTCTTCACCTACATCCAAACAGCAGCTTTTTAAAAAAAGAAAAACATATCTTTCTCATTTTATTTAAACTGACTCAACTGTATCATTTTCAGTTTTAATTTCAGTGGGTGTTGCTATGCTCTCCTCTGTACAAGCTGGTGGGGTATCAATTTGTTCTTCCTTAACTTTGGGACTTTCACAGGGTTCCTGCAATTCATTTTTGACAATGTTCAACATAATGTTCAAAGGGTTTTCAACTGGTGTCTTGCTGGGAGATGGTGTACAATCAAATGAAGATGTATTTTGATAAATCCTCATAACATGATGGATGATAAACCTTTCCATCCACTCTAATGGCATTCTTTAAATGCCACTCCTCCTCTTCTTCATCCCAGATTTGTTCAAATTGTTCTTGACAGATTTCACAACTCTCCACTGCTCCAGCTGGCCCTGCCGGTACACTTTGGAACTCCTTTTCTTTAGCAGCTTCCTGAGTTTTGAGCACAACTTCTTCATGCACCTTTTCAAAAAACTGGTTCTTTGCACATTCTTCCAAATCAGCTATTTCCTCAAATTCTATCCAGTCTGTTAAACTGTAGTACCAACGTCTATGAGTGACTTTTCTGCTAACGTCTTTTTCAGTTCTATTTTGCCGATAATGCCAGTCCAAGTGATTTGCATAAACATCTGTCTGTGATGTTGTAAACCTCATTCCACAAGAGTAACACTGAATACCAGTGTACAGTCTATTTATAACACTATCATAACGTTGTTTTAACTCTTCAATTGTAAAATTGGTAAGATCTGGAACATCTTGATCTTCATTTTGATCTTCCTCCTCTTCAGCGGGAGGCTGAGCAGCAACTTCATTTACTTGTGTTGTAGCTGAATCAGGCTGGGACAATTTGAGAATTCCTGTTTTTAGCAGTTTTGAAAATAATTCATTTACATCCACCTGACTGAGGTGATTATCAGGATATGCCTTAGGAAGGGCTCCTGAAGGATTCTGAACAAATGCTCCAGGATTTTGTGGATGAACTGGTAAAAACTGTTGTCCCTGGCCAAATGGTACTGGTTGAGCAACACCAGTCAGAACCTGTTGAGATGCCTGAATGTTTCCTACTGTTATTGGAGCAGGTAAATTGCCAAAGTTTCCAAATTGAGAACTTTGAAGATTCTTTTCATCAAAATAGTGTCCAGAAGCTCTGCTAAGGGGATTTGAGAAACTCTGGTTCTCAGGGCCATGTGGTCCATTAAAATTTGGTCCTTGAGGTGAATCAAATATTTGTTCATGTCTTTGGAATTGCAGTCCTTGGGATGGGGCATTAAAAGCATTGCTAGGTGGCTCATTATATGGACCAGTCTGACTGAAAGAAACAGATTCAAGCCTTTGTGAAGGATGATTGTCAAATCGTACTCCTTGAAGACCAAGGGGAATATCAAACCTTGATGCTTGCTGGTGTTGTGGACCATCAAATCTTTGAGGAACACCATCAAATCTTGGTTGAACCTGCTGTCCAGGTGGTCCATCAAATCTCTGTGGGCCTGGTTGACCAGTTCTTTCAAATCTAGGACCTGGTTGACCATGTAATCCATCAAATATTGGTAAGAGCGATGGCTGATCTGGCTTCCCATTAAACCTGAAAGCATGACAATCTTCAAATCTTGGACCACCTTGACCCAGAGGCCCTTCAATTCTCAGTCCACTTCCTGGTACAGGACCCTCAAACCTGATCCCAACCCCTGGTTGACCATGGGGACCCTCAAACCTAAGGTTTCCACCAAGTTGATTATGTTTTCCTTCAAACCTCAGATCAGCTACTGACTGACCATGGGGGCCCTCAAACCTCATTCCAACTCCCTGCTGTAGCAAAGGGCCCTCAAATCTGATCCCACCTGCTGGTTGACCATGAGGTCCATCAAACCTAATTGCAACTCCTGATGGACCATGACCCCCCTCAAATCTATGTCCACTTACAGGCTGACCTCTGGGATTATCAAATCTAAGTCCACTCACAGGCCCACCTGCAGATTCCTCAAACCTCAGACCAGGGGAACCTTCAAACCGAAAACCACCTCCGCCTGCTTGACCAATTGGCCCTTCAAACCGCAAAGGTGTCCCTACTGGTCCTGGAGGACCTTCAAATCTCAAAGGACACCTGCCTCCTAGCTGACCTTGTGGTCCTTCAAATCTCAAAGGACCACCTCCCCCCATTTGTCCAGGTGACCCATCAAATCGAAGAGAACCTGGTGCAGGAGGTCCATCAATTCTAGGGCTTAATTTATTAGGTCCTTCAAAAATCATCTTGGTTGGGCCATCTCTTGTTACTGATGGCCTACTAGGTCCATCAAATAATGGTCTGTCTTCAGCAAACGCTGTAAGTCGCTGATTTGTATCGAGGCCGGCAAATCGTGATGCTGGGCTACATACAAATGGTTTATCTGCATCTTCATATCTAGGTCGCTTAAGTGGAAAACGATCATTGAATGGTGACCTCTGCTCTTCTCGCACACCTTTAGCAGAGACTTGCTTGTCATGTCTTCTCCGGCCCTCACGGGGTGAAAGATTCTCAGCATAAGAACGACTCCCAGATATAGGAGAAAGACGTCTTGCTCTTTCACTAAATTGTTCTTTTCTGTCAAACTGTGCTCCACTATTCCTACTTGCATGTTTATTTTTGGATGGCTCACATTCTATTCCAGACAACAAGGCATCAGTCAAAGGGTAGTGAAAAATATCAGAATCTTAGAGATCAAGTCTTGGAAATGAATGCTGAACCTGTGTCCTTTTCAGTTTTGCTTTATGTTCATAGTAGGTTAATTCAGCATCAGATAAGAGAGGTTTCTTTTTTAATCCACCTTTATTTTCTTCTGAAGGACTATCGCGTACATTGCATCTGTGTTTACCTTCTTGATACTGAAATAGCTGTCGAATTTGATGCACAACAAGAATGAACTCATCCTGTGTAATTTCACCAGATGCTAAACGTTCACTCGTCTTTTGAAGTAATTCTCTTTTGCTTGCAAGAGTTAACTCTTTAGGAATCTGAAGATTGGCATCTACACTTAATCGATGCTGTTGCTTTGGGGCTCGAGGTGACAAAATTCCTTTAGTGCTTGACCAGCTTTCCCTATGCCTTAGATGAGGAGATTTACTATGGTCGTCACCTTGTTGTAAGCTTTTATTTTCTCCCCAACCAGATTTCCATCTTTTGTTAGACTTGGAACTTGACCAATTTTCTACATTCTCCTTTGGTTCAGTGCCTGACTTTGTAGAATGCTGACTTGTAGTTTCTTGCGGTCATTCCTCTTCAGTCTTCTTTATTCGCCTTGGATCTCGAACATCCTGTTTAGTACTTCTCTTAGCATTTCTTTCTTCCCTGGAAGGTGGCATAAAGTCTTCCATATGTGACTGCTTACATCCAGATTGGCGAATCTTTCCAGCTTTGGCTGTCGAGGTTGGAGACATACTCCTTTGCCTTCGTTTGGGTGACCGCCTATCTCTTCTCTTAGGAGAATGTATAATTGGTGACTGAGACTTGGGTGATTGTTGGGGTCCAGCCCAGCAGGTCCAGGGGTCTCCAAAGGTGTGGACGGAGTCGGCAAAGAAGACACAGAGACAGCGTTCAGTGATCAGTTGATCAGCAGCCTAGCCAGGGTTCTCTAGCCAGGATCTCCAGCCCGGGTTCTGTGTTTTATTGTCTTGTTACATCTGTATTTATACCAGTTGATTTTAATCCTGTCAATTTCTATACAAAGGTTAGGGCGTTTCTTATCTCCATTCCAGGAGTAAAGATTATGTAGCTTAACTACCCGCTGGCACTTAATTAAGGGGTTGTATCCCCTCCCTAACCTCAGGGAAAAATCCCCACCTGGGGAAACAACCTTTCTCAGAGAGGTGACCTTGGTCAAAACACACGGCACCAAGGAGAGCAAACATACCAAGAACAATATGCCATACACGCCAGGTCCCTTGAAACATATGCTGTGCAGATGTCTCTTTCCTGCAGCGACTGTGTCAAGCAGCAAGGATGGACCGGCTTCCGGCAATTAACAACAACAACGAAAGTACAAAAACAAAAAACTTCACAAAATGATCACAAATCAGAGCAGTTTCCAGGCTGGTGAATGATAACCTGGAAAAATTCACCACAGCATAATGTGAGAACAACAATGTCCATGGAAACACGACCTTCGCTGAGGATGGGGCCTCAGGTCCATTCCCTAGTCAGAGAGGAAGAATTGAAGATCCCGACCACAGCTCAGGGTACTCATAATTTTCCCAGACAAAAGTGGACACAGAAGTCATCTTCCCTGAGCACACAGGTGTGACTGAGGCACACGGTCCAGGGGAGCCATGTGGGAGAGTTGAAATGGTTCCAGCCACAAAATCCAGCAGTGACATCGATCAATCTGGTAATAGCCCTTGCAGGTTAGAGTGCAATGCAGCCCCTTAAAGCCTCTCATGAACTTGACTCATCAGGAACCTAGCAGACTGTATGTTCCATGAACAGGAAGTTAAATTCAGGTAAATAACTCTGAGTCTCCTCCGTGTTGTTAT